TGAGAGGGGAGGGAAATGAACCCAATAATAAACTTAAAATAAACACAAATACAAACTAAACATAATTGATGTCAGTAGGGACCGTCCAACCCATAAAACAGAGAGACCGCTGTATTCTGCACAGGGGACAAAATCAAGAGACGCTCTCGCTAAGGGAGTGGGAAAAAGTATAAAATATTAGACTGGAATAGGAAAATATAAAACTGCCCCAGTCGAGATGAAAGGGGGGGTCAAAACAAACTGGGGGAGGTTGGGAATCTCGACTTGGATCATAACCAAAGAACGGCCGGGATGCAGGCCAGGAACAACACTTACTCACATTAACTAGGTACACTGAAGCTTGTCTAACCCAACCAAGGGGAGGTTCCACAGGAAGCTACCCTGATGTGCAATAGGTTGACTTAGAAGAGAAAAATCAAGGCTAGCCTGATTCACACGAAGCAAGCTTCTTTTACCCACCTTTTCGCTAAAGACTGTCGAATGCAATCGTTTTCTATCAGTTCTAATCTTCATCTTGAGCTGATGCTCAAAGAAACGAATTAGATCCGAATGAGAAAGACGATTGCCTCGCAAGACTTCCTCCTTTCGCGTCGTCCAAATCACCATTCTAGCCGTGGCCATCAGCGTCAGAAACATCATCCGTTTCATCCCGGAATACGGGGGCGACATTGTCACACGCGTATGCGCGATCAATGGACGCAAGCTGTTCGGGAGAGAGACGAGCCGTCAGCTCGCCGACATGGTCCCGGGGCGGACATGGGGGCAATGGTAGAAGGCGTGCGCAGCCGTTTCTTCTAAGCCAAGGCCACACCGTTCACAGTCTGGCAAATCCGCCAAGCCCCATATGAAAGCCATGTCGTTGAGAGGCAGCCGATTCTGAGCCAATCGCCAGCTAAGCGAAAACTCAGGGTTACTGAGGTAATCCGCCGCTGGCGCCAAGACCAGTAGGAGCGAAACTCCTCCTCCGACATGCCGAGCATATCTCTTAGGGGATCCTTCTGGGCCTCTCCACTAATTCACGATAGAAGACCTTCCAGGCCGAGAAAGGTCACTGGACCGGGGAACGGCCCTCAAGGCCGACCGACACTCGCGAAGGAAACCGATTGATCCCAGGGTTTACGACCGCGCTCAACTCGCGAGATGGGGGACTGATGGTAAGGCCAGGGAACGCGTCCCTAACAATCCCCCTCCATAATCGGATCTCCTCCAGTCAATGCGCGGCGTAGGAAAGCCAACCCAGAGGCACGGATGTGACTCGGCAGGTGCAACATTCCCAGCCTCCCATGACACGGACGTTTAGTGCAGACTCGTCTGTCGACCCGATTCCCGCGTCCTCTCCATAAATGGAGGATAGCGAGCGTTCGAGCGCCTTCTTGTGGGCCTTACAGAGAGGAAGTACGGACAATCGATAAAGAATCAGGGGAAAATGTATGTAGCACACACCTCCGCCCTGCCCTTCACGGACAACCTCCGTTGATTCCAAGTCTGACCGGCGGAATCGACCTTTGCTCGTACTTCAGACCAATTCTTTCCAGCTGGAGGTCAGGCCCAAACCACACTCCAAGAATGCGGACAGGACCGTCTGTCCAACCGAAGCGGCCCGGAAGAGCGACCCCTTCCAGGCACCTAACCGCAAGCCGGACGACTTGTCGCGGTTTATTTTGGCCCCTGTCACCTTCTCGTACCGATCAAGCGCCTTCTGTACCGCTTCAATGTCGTTGCGGGACGACAAGAAAGCAGATACGTCATCGGCGTACGCGGAAACCCTGGCTCGAGACCCTCCAGGAACGGCAATTCCACGTAGGGCCGGACTGCCGGTCTCGTCCTTCAGCCGGCGAAGGAGAGGCTCCAACGCCAAAGCATAAAGAAGAGGCGACAGCGGACAACCTTGACGAACCGACCTAGACAGCACGAACACGTCCGACAACCTTCCGTTCACCTGTACCACCGCACTGGGGGAGCGATACAGGAGTCTAATCCAGCGGCAGAAGTTGGGTGCGAATCCAGCGGCCTGCAGGACAGCAGCAAGGTAGCGATGGTCGATCCTATCAAATGCCTTGGACTGATCCAAATTGATCAGCGCGGCTTCTTCGTCGTCTTTTACACCCTCTATGATCGTGCGGATCAGATGCAGGTTGCTCTGAATTGTTCGGCCCTTCACAGAACAAGTCTGCTCAGGTCCCAACAGAGACTCGGCAACTGACTGCAAACGCTCCTGCAGAATCTTGGCCATAATCTTTAACTCTGTGTTTAGCAGAGTTATGGGCCTGTAATCATCTAGGTTCCCCCCACCACTTTGCCCTTTTTTAACAGAGTGATCACACCTCTGGTGATCCGGTTGGGGATGGGCCCCGACCGAAACCAGTTGTTGAAAACTGCAGTCAAAATTGGAACAAAGATGTGCGACAGCCTCAAGTACAATTCATAGGGCAAACCATCCAGACCAGGCGACTTGCCTCTGCCGACCTTCTTCAAAACCGCGTAGACTTTGCCCTCCGTAATCTCTCCCTCGCAGCTAGCCGCTTCAGTCGGCGAAAGCCGAGGAAAGTCAGCCAAATAGCTACGAAACTCCTCCTCACGGAGACCAGGCTCCTTGGTAAACCGGTTCTCGAAATGGCGCCGAAACGCTCCGCACATGTCGTCAGTGGCCCGAAGAGAACGCCCCTCCGGGGATTTGACTTCACGAATGTAACGATCGCCACCTCGACGGACCTCTTCCTGCGCAGGTCTGCGCCCAAGTTCACGGCTTCGGAAGACATCTTGCTTAACTTATGTCTAATTACCTGACCCATGCACCGCTCGCTATTCGATCGATCCAGGGCCTCCTTAGCTAAGGCTATCTCTAGGGGATCCCCCCAGCCTCCGCCCGGGAATAACTGACTTTAAGCGTCTTCACCTTTTCAGCTCTATCTAGAGCGAGCCGTTTGCTGAAATCAGTGGTGAAGGACCTAATCCTACATTTAAGACGTTCCCACCATCTATTCCCGATAACCGCCCCCACTAGCTCCCGCTGCACTAGTCTAATTATCTGCTCCTGGAAGTCCCGCCTGTCCAGTAAAGACAGATTGAACTTCCAGTACCCAGCCATTCTAAGTTTTATTGTCTAACGCTACCCGTGCACAAACGTGTTTTGATCCGAAAAAGCCTACCCAGTGGAACGTAGGGCAATCTAGTAGTTCTGTGTCGGCTCTTCTCACTAACATTCTGTCAAGGTAGCTAACCACCTTGTCAGACGACCAATTAAGAGCCCACGTCCACATTTTTTCTTGGGATGATCGACCCGGTATCTATCGACGAGACCATAATCAAAAATGATTTAAAAAACGATGAAAATGTCCATGAAGATGGTCTTAAATAGACCGAAACGTCCGACGTCGACTTTATATTAACATTAATACAGCATAATTGCATGTTAAAATTTTTATTTTTTCTGTATTTTTCTTCATACTGTCGGATCTATATCCATATATTTGCTTGCATATATATATATATATATATATATGCACACACAGTGGGGGAAACAATTATTCGTACACATACAAATTTTTAATTTATTGTATTGTTTAATGAATAAACATACTTTTCATATAATTAACTGTACACAGATGCATAATAACTAAATATGCATAGAAAACAGAAAAATTGATTTAATAGAAGTAAATCCCGTTTATGCATTTTAGTGGGTGAAGAAAGTATTCGTATAATAATGTTAATGTTTTTTAAATTATGCTATTTATTGACAGTTGAATGTATGTTTTGGCGCCCTGGAAAACTACTAAGACATTTTTACTCTACTAATCGGATTATACTAAGTCTATTTCAATTCAACAGATAAATACGTATAACAAGAAAATTTCGTGAATTTATAACTTTTCAAAATTCAAACAAAATTCTCACTTGATTTATTTCTACAAGAACTCTAGTATCGCATCATTGCACGCTCCAAAACATATATTCAACTGTCAATAAATAGCATAACTTCAAAAAAACAAAACAAAAAAAAACCTCTTTCGGTTTTGCATCGTTCGTCTTGGTATTTGCCTATGTATGAATATATATATATATATATATATATATATATATATATATATATATATATATATATATTAGACTACTAATAATACTCGCTTGGAAAAAAAAACTCGGATAGCACAACTTGCAAGTCTATCAAAAAAAATGTGTACCCGAGGAAAAAAATGGAAAAGAAAAGAAAGAACTAGAAACATCCGAACAAGGCGACATAAATCATCCAGTGCCTTAAGTTTTTAGTCCAAAGAAAAAAAAACAAGTTAGTAATAAAACTAAAACGTAGAGTGCTCAATACGCTAAGTAGAGCAGGAATAAATGGAATAAATCCTAAAGAACCAGGAATAACGTACCTAGGTTTCACTTAAACGGATCTTCATAGTAAGCTGGCTATATATATATATATATATATATATATATATATATATATATATAGATAGATAGATAGGATAGATAGATGGAGAGAGAGAGAGAGAGAGAGAGAAAGTGAGAGAGAGAGGAAAAACTCACCCATTATAAAAGATGCTCCTAAGCTAAGATGAACTATTATTCCCCCGATGACGACTAAGATCGCTTTCCATAGTGGCCTTGGATGAGTTGGCCATTGAGTTGGCAGTCTTGGCGCTTTTTGTTCCATCCTTCTGGATCGTTGTCTGTCAAATGAACGAAGGGAAAAAGAATTAAAGAAAAGTTGCCAGTGCTTAAGATATTCCCATCGAGAGTTACAAATCCACGTATCAGCACGTGCTCGCACTGTTTCAGAGATACACACGTAAATATTGTCGAAATGTGTGTGTGTGTGCCTTTTTTACTTACGCGAGCATGCGCAGACTTGCACCAATGCTAAGAAAATTTAATATTTTCTCTTGAGCACTACCTCGTGATACCTCATTTCGTCAGAAAACTCTTCATATCGTTTACAGTGATAAAGCAATTCTTGTTTTCTTTTCACGTGCCACTCTCCATTTCTTTTTATGACCTTTCTTTCCTTGCCATTTCTTTCTTTCATTCTTTCTTTCTTTCTTGTCATTTTATTCTTTGCTTTCATTTTTTTCTTTCTCTGCTATTTCTTTCTTTTTTCTTTCCTTCTTTTATTTTTTGTTATGTGTTTCTTTCTTTTTTCTTTCCTTCTTTTATTTTTTGTTATGTGTTTCTTTCTTTTTTCTTTCGCTTCTGTTCTTTGTCCTTTATTTCTATTCTTTCTTTCTTTTATTCCGTACTTATTCTATCGTTTCTTTCTTTCTTTCTTTATTTCTTTCTTTCTTGCTTTCTTTCTTTCTTTCTTTCTGTATTTTGCCCATTCTATCGTTTCTTTTTATCTTTCTTTCTTTCTTTCTTTCTTTCTTTCTTTCTTTCTTTTGCCCATTCTATCGTTTCTTTCTTTCTTTCTTTCTTTCTTTCTTTCTTTCTTTCTTTCTTTTGCCCATTCTATCGTTTCTTTCTTTCTTTCTTTCTTTATTTATTTCTTTCTTTCTTTCTTTCTTTCTTTGGCATTTATTTATTTCTCTTCGCTCTTTCTTTTATCATTTCTTTTATTTTCTTTCTTCATTCCTTTCTTTCTTTCTTTCTTTCTTTCTTTCTTTCTTTCTTTCTTTACCATTTCTTTCTTTTTCTGAACTCCTCCCCTTCTTTCTTTTAGTTTTTCTTTTTTTTTTTTTATTGTTTTGTCTCTTTCATAACATCTTATCTCAAGCATTCCTTACCCCGTTACACCCTGCAGCTAAATAAATAAGCAATTGACACATTTAGATAGAGATAAGAATCAATAAATAAAACTCAATCTAAAATGTTTGCGAAAATCTCCCGACAACAATTTTTAATCTTGCAGTAAGCACAAAGGTTTAAAATTCACAAGAGAAAAAAGTTCATTTAAGTGGCGACGACGAATTTTCATCGAAACAGCCAATACCCTATCGTTAAAACCCCAGAAAAAAATACGAAGTAGTTTATCTGTGGACAATAACAACTTGCAAGGCTTTTTAGTTGCATTCAACAGTTTTCATATAGATTTCTACGTATAACTGCACAACTGTTTATTATTTTTTTATAACTAGAGGAGATATCAATATAATTTGGTTCAGGTGTTGAAGGCTTATGTAGAACCGGCCACTCTACGGAAGTATTGATAAAAGAGAGACGGTGCCAAGTGTAACCCGAACTCTCCAGACAATCCTTCTCAGGTTTGAAGTAAGATTTTTATACCATTATTGATGTTATAAACAATACGATGCGGACGTTTTATTTTTTACTGTATAAAAATTGCTCACAAAACGTATTGTATTTAGAATATCAATAATGATATAATACGACAGAATACCTACTTTTGCCTACTAAATATAAATATATATATATATATATATATATATATATATATATATATATATATATATATATATATATCGCAGAGCAGAGTTCGAATTCCAGTCGAATCCACTCTATTCACTTACGTGCTAATACCCTTGGGAAAGGTATGTATCCTCTTTATCTCCCTCCAGCTATGGGTAAAATAGCAGGACAGACTGGGTTCTATAGCCTTGGATGGCAACTGGTCTAGGAGAAGGACAACTCTGAATTCAAAACCTGCGGAGGGTCGTTTGGGAACCTTGTGGCATGCATTCGGTGCACCAGGTTTCTGTATTCGTCCCTCCAAAAAAGTGTGGCTGGTCCTGCACAAGGCCTTCACCACTATAAACAAATCTCATGTGCCGGTGTCGGGATGTCGGTTTCCTGGGGACTTATCGGCCTGACCCCCTCATACGTCGAACGCGACAGGAGAGTCGATTATATATATATATATATATATATATATATATATATATATATATATATATATATATATTATATATATATATTATATATTACCTATATATTATATATTAGAATTATATATTAGAATATCAATAATGGTATAATACTTATAGAATACCTACTTTTACCTACTATATATATATATATGTGTGTGTGTGTGTGGGCACAGACTTTCCGGTACTATTGGTTTCGGAATTATCCATCTTATTGTGGATTTTCCATTCAACCACAGCAACAGAAGTGACATAATGACAATTCAATAACACACCCCTTACCAACTAATTATACATCTCACGTATCTGTGCAGCATCATCGACTCTTACAAAGTTGTATTAATTACAACGCCACCTGCGGCACTCGGTAACCGCTTGTAATGGAGTCCGGATTAAAGTTGTTAACGGCCCATAAGTCCATGGAAAATACATGGTGTACCTATATAAACATACACGCACATATATATATGCACACATACATACGTTTTTTACGGCTTACCAAACTTTAGTAGGTTATATAAAGTCAGAAAATATTTTTAGATTGTAGGAATTTTTTCGAGATAATAATGATTAGCTGATACAAGTCCTACTAATTAACTCATAGCTTTAGGAGAAACACTTTTCTCAATGGTATTTGCGCGTAAGTGACTATAACGAATCCAATGGGAATTGGAACACAGCTTCCCGACTTACAATTCCGAGCCATAAGAACTCAGCTCTTTGTTTTTCAATTACGAATCTTTATCCGTTATATCACCAGCTAATCCAGGCGATCATCCACTTAGATAGTGACCTGGCTCGAGGTGGCTTAACTTCGGTGATCGTACGAGAATCAGTGTTTCAACATGATATGGTCGTAAGAAGAAGAAGAAGATGAAGATGAAGAAGAAGAAGAAGACGAAGAAGAAGAAATGACAAAGGGAAGAAAATGATAGTGGACAGGGAGAACGTTGGGGGCAAAAAAAGTAAAAAAATAGTAAGGTTAATAAAGAAAATAACTGTTATGGGACCTTACCCATAATAACATAATAGACTATTCCATACGTAATAAATACTGCGCCTCAAGAGGAAGCAGGGAGTTCAGTCCGAAGGCGGGCGACCGGTTGATCGGTTGAACTCTCTGCCTTCGAGCGGGAAGGAACCCGAAAGAGAGTCCAGCCTTCGGCGTAGCCTCTTTCGGGGAGTTAAACCGACCCTGAACCCGTTTATACGTGTTCAAAGGGCATATTTTTGGCCGAGCCCACGGGCTCGGACATCCCACGTTAAACCGGCCTTGTGCCACATGATGCCCTCGGGGGTGGGTGACTAAATACTGTTCCGTTTCAAGTCTAGAATTCAGTCTGAAGTCTGGAGTGAAGTCCGTCAGGAGTCTGTCAGTCAGTCATAGAGAGTCAGTCAGTCGAGTCAGAGGCAGTCCGAAACAGAGTCGTGTTCAAACAATTACTACTAGACCTGATTGTTCGTACTAACACTTTTCTACCTCTTTGTATATATATTCCTGTTTGTAATATATCTGTGTTATTCCATACCTGTGTTCGAGTTTTTCTTTATTGGTTCTACCTTGGACTATCACCGTGGTACAAGGAATCGGACAATAACAATAAGAAAGAGAGAAAAAAAACGAAGAGGAGTAGAATAAAAAAAAAGATAAAAGACAGAACAAAATGAAAAAAAAAGAAGATGAAAATGATGTAAGGAAAAAGAAGAAAAGGAAGAAGAGAAAAAAGAAAAGAAAAAAAGACAAGAAAGATAAAAATGCAAATCAAGTTGACGTCAGAAGAGAATTCCAGAAAAAGTAAAGGAAAATAAAACGGAATTTTTTATTTGATTTTTGTTTAACGCCGTATCGGTTATGTAATACCAAAATCTACAACTACATATATTTCGAATGCAATTGTATGCCTCTGTTATATAGGAATAAAGTGTCGCTGCCGACACTCGAGTTTGAACACAGATCACCAGAGTGCAGCACAGTGAACCAACTTTTTTTAGCAGCTGACCTAGCAATGGATTCAATGTAGTCTTTCCACTTCATGTCCGCCGTGAACGACAATTCGAGAAGGCACAAAAGAAGAAACGAACAGCAAAAAAAACAGCAAAAGCGGATGAAGCCCTGAGCTCGCCCGCGAGCTCACGGCTTCATCCGCTTTTGCAAGCGCTGGGACGAGCTATATGACCGAGTTAGTTATATAAACCCTCGCTCCAAATAAGAGTTCGGCAGCCTTTTCAGACATTGCAGACATAATGTAAAGGCCACGTTGTCAGATGAGGGCGCGGGTTCGAATTCCGCACATTGACCAAGAGGAATTGACCAATTTAGGAGTGATAGAATTAATTCATGAAAGTATTGTTATTCGTTCGCACCTGTCAGCATTAGGACGTCTTCCTTACAACTGATCGAGAAAGGGCTGCTGAAGATTGAATGATGAAACACATTTACCTTTTATCAGTTACAACATTATATAAGAATTATAGAAATGTGAAAACTGCATTCACCGACAGGTGAGGTAAGAATGAACACCATCAGCGACTAATGGAGAGTGAATTAAAAACATACAAAAAGCGTATCCCTGTCCCGGATTATTGAAACACCTGTTTAATAAAGTATAATCTTTTGTTAAAATCCTCACAGTATTTAATATTGTTGAAGTTATCACTGACATTTTTTGTCGAGATTTACAAGCGCTACGTTTCGTTCAGCTTCGCAAACCAATCGATAAAATTTGAATAAGCCAATTTGTTTGGAAAAAAATACTTTAACAAAAACCTTACTTTGCAATTTAATAATATCTTAAATTTAATCTAATTTTATAGAACTTCGCAGTAAATAATATTTTTTAACAATTCTTTTTCCTTTTTAACAGCGAAGAATAAATAATTAGGATTTCTTACTCTTGAGCATGCAACATACATTTGGCAATGTGTAAATATGTATTTCTGGAGCCAAATTCCAACTTTTTGAAGCGTTTGGCCTTGTGATTTGTTACTTAGTTCTTGCAAACGCAAGGTGAACTGGAAACTGGATTCTTGTATATAAAAACTTAAAGAAAAGATAAACAAAAACAATATTGCATTTTTATTAAATAAGTGTTATTTTAATCATTAAATTGTTTTTTTAAAATAGTGGGAGTATTTTGTATGTTAAATAATAAAACTTTTCACTTTTTCAAAAAATTAATGCAAATCTATTGTATTAAGCTACGCACCAAAATTTGGTTTATATATACATACATATATATATATATATATATATATATATATATATATATAGATATAGATAGATATAGATAGATAGAGAGAGAGAGAGAGAGAGAGAGAGAGAGAGAGGGGAGAGAGAGATTTTTGAATTACTGAGGCTTCATCTTTTTTTTCTATGTAACTGTGTTTTTCATTGAGTAATTCACATAGTATGACTTTTATATTAAATGACTTTTATGTTAAATGAGATTGATACAAGACAATTTTCGTTTCCATAAAAATTAAAAAAAAATTTTTTTTTTTCGCTGTACATCGATCCTGGATTTATTCGAGTATCTTTCCAAATGAAGTCAGTTTTTGGGATATTGCATCTCTAGGCAGTTTTGACTTATCTTTTTACAAGATTAAAGCGAAATCAAAGTCACTTTTCTTGTGCTAGTCTGTCACAGACCCAAAGCTCAAATCTCTCTAGTTACGATTAGTCTTTCATCAATGATGATGTTTACATAAGTGTTGTACAATGTAAAACGACCCCGGTATCGTGATAAAAAAAAATAACGAATATAAGACGAAACTAACTACAGATTATTAATAGTCGCAATAATAAATACAGATAA